CCTGCGTGCTGGTCATCTCCTAGCGCCCACACAGTGGACACTCACCAGTCACAGGGAGCACATTCCTCTGGACGCACTTTCCTACTTTCTGGGCACTATGTACTTTGTTACAGAATACAAGGCATTTACAGAGTCTTTTAGATGTTTCCAGGACAACACAAAAGATGAATCATCTACTTCCAGCACCTGGTGCAGAGGATACCTGTGAGTTTGAGACCAGCCTGGTCTAAATTTCAAGTTTCAGCTAGCCAGAGCTCCATGAAGAACTGGGGATGAGGATTACACCGAAATAAGGAACAAAATTCAGATTATTTTATTTTAATAAAAAGTTCCTTGTTTTCAGCCAACAGTCAGTCATCTTGCCAATGTTACTATTTGTACAAACCTTCCACAGAACAAGAACTCAGCAAGGGCATGCATACAAAGCACTGACATCATTTAACCATAAATTGTACATATGAACTTCCTTGCTTCAACATTCTAGCTTCTATGTCTTTACTGAGTATTTTCTAGAACTAATATATTATAACATATTAATAGATCAAGAGGCTTTCAGAATATGGAGTTTTTCCCCTTCATGAAAAGCTAGTAATACACGTGCACAGGCAGAAACAGTTCTTGGCAGGGTCATCACAAAAGAAAATGTGAAGGTATAAATCTCATGATACTTCTCTGGTAGAGTTACAAGTTTATAATTATCACTAGGTAAGTACCAAATCAGAGGCTTAGCACAATGCACAGGATACTAGCTCCTGAACGGTCCTTGTACTCTCTACAATCCAAGCACCATCTGCAATAGAATTTAAAGGCCGGCTGGACGTCTTTAACCAAACACATCACTGACACCTGAGTTGACACACAGACCCAGGACTCCCTCCCTTCCGCCATTTCTCTCATCATGACCATTCATCTACATAATTCTATTCTCTCCATTCCTCCAGAATCCACAGTTCATCTATCAGTAAATCAACGGAAACCCGTAACTCTTATTTCCACGTTCATGGCTTTGTTTCAGACCCTGATCACCTCTCACTAGTTTCTGTCAACTTACCTTTATTTTATTTATTTGTGTTTAGTTCATTGAGATAGAGGGAACATAGGCTTAGAGTCAGAAAGATCTGGGTTCCAATTCTAGGGCGGTTATTTATCATCAGGGAGGTAAGCTCTGAATCGTACGGGGTCTTTACCCACAAAATATTATCTGTTCCCTTTTGTGCATGCTAGAGAGAGCTGATGTGTCAGTATGCTGACACTGTTGAAATCTAGATGCAAAACCAGAAATTGGCTTTGAATCAGAAAGTTGTGTGCTAACTTGCTATAGTTGCATCTCTATTTTAAAAGACAGTGTAACAGTCAAAGGTCCTTTCAAAACAGTTATTAAACAAGCTGGATTTGCTAGGTAGCTAGCTAGAATTCTCACTTTCAGATTTTCTCAGAAACTTTTTAGGGAACTAGTGGCCCATAGAGTTTTACAACTTGTCATTGGTTGCAGCAAGGGGGGCTGCTGCAAGGAAAACGGACTCATAGAAAAGAATTTACCTAAAATCTATCTTAAAACTTCACCTAGTTGATAATCGGCACTTGAATAAGTAGTAGGAATAAGCAAGTTTTCCTGAGCCAAGCCCCCAAACCTTCAGTTTCCTTTCTTCTTATCAGTACACGGTCATTGGACAGAGCCTCTCTTCCACTCTGTTTTCATGCACGTGTATACTGCACCTTAGCCTTGCTGACCCGTCCATCACCTTTAGCCAAAAAAAAGAGGACACAACTTGGACTTAAGTGTTTTGTTCCTCAAATGGCATTATTTTATGAGACTTAGAAAAAAACAATTTTGCTTGGGACACAAACTCTGGGAAGCTGTTATAGGTCTTGCAGCTGACTTCAGTTAAGCAGAAATTGGTAGTGAGGGCTGGAAATGCAAAAGTCTTAAAAAAAAAAAAAAAGCAAACCCTGTCAGTTTTAGTCTAATAACATTCCAGCTCTGACACATTCTTCAGAAAACACAAGTGTTTGGCCAAGGAAAGACAGCCTATAATAAACTGGCTTAGGCATTTAACCTCTTTTGAGGAGTACAATAAAGCCATATGCTCTTTGCAGGCTCGTCAGTGTTTCAGCAGACAGCTCTAGATGGACTAATGAACACCTAGGCAGAGACTGCAATGCAAAAACACACTGGAAGCAAAACGCTTACACAGTAATCTTTGCTCACACATATGTATATGTAATGATTTAAAGTAATAGTAAATGAAGTCATGATAAAATTGTATAACCATGGGGCTGGAGAGATGGTTCAGTGAGTGGGTCACTGACTGCTTGCTCTTTTAAAAGTCCCGAGTTGAATTCCCAGCAACTATATGGTGGCTTACAACCATCTGTAATGGGGTCCAATGCTCTCTTCTGGTGTGTCTGAAGACAGCTACAGTGCACTCACATTCATAAAACAAATAGATCTTTAAAAAAATTATATAACTGTTTTGCAATTTACAAAGAATCAAGAGATCTCAACATGATTATCAATCAACATCTTGCAATCAATCAGACTTTATGCAAACCACCAGCCTGAGCTCTCAATAGGAAACAGACAAAATCGAGGGGTTGGGGGAGAGAAATTGAATCTGAATATTATGAAACTTCTAGAACAAATAATCAGGTACAGGAAATAGGGGCCATCGAGATGGCTTAGCAGGTAAGGAACCTGGTGCCAAGCCTGACTGCCCAAGTTTGATCCTTGGGACACACATGCAAACTGTCTTCTGACCACTCGAGTGCTGAGCCATGCACAACCCTTACATCATGCATGCAAAAACCAAATAAAACGGTAACAAAAATTTAAGTAAAATTTTTAGGAAATGCAATCAACAAAAGGTACTATTGAGAAATCAAACAGGAATGATGGCCCGAAAGAAAACAAATAGATCTTGAGGATTATCCTGAGCTATTTTCTTCAGTGTTACAGTCACTGGCATTGTGCTCATGGTCTGTAAATAACCTAATGAAACAACCTGCTGGGACATCGATGCAAAGATCAACCCATGAAAGTGGAAGAGGGGTGGTGGGGAGGAGGAGGAGGAGAAAGAAGAGCAAGAGGATGTGAAACATGATAGAAATGCCTTATGCATATGTATGAAGATGCTTAATAAGAAACACACAAATCTCATCAGTTAGAGGCTTTTTTGTTTTGTTTTGTTTCTCTGTGTAGTGCTGGCTGTGTCAGGACTGGCTCTGTAGACCAAGGTGGCCTTGAACTCAGACAGATCTGCCTGCCTCTGCCTCCCAAGTGCTGGGACTAAAGGTGTGCACCACCACTGCTCTGCTAGGGCTTTAATGTTAAGCCAGTTTTATAGTTTAGAGAAAACTTCAAGAGAATAATTGGTAAGATTTATACATTACTTTTCAGAAATAGGGCAGAAATACATTTTTTTCTACACATTATACACTCTTTCCAATTAAAAAACCTACTGGAAAAGAAGTTGCCAATGGACCAGCTCCCAAATTTGGATGCTGTTTAAAAATGAACAGTGACAAAGTTTCTGCCAAAATCTATGTATACAAGCAGCATGCGGATCTTTCTCTTCTTTTCTATATAAGGCTGTGACGTGAGTAAATTAATTGCACTCCACAGCAAAGGCATAAAGCTGGATGAGAATATTGTCTCACTGCAAGAAACTACAAGTGTGCAAACTGCTATACGGCCATGGGGGAGGATCTCCATAAAATACATACTCCAAAATCTCGAGATTCTATCTTCTTTTCTCAAAAGGGAAAAACAGTCTAGGTCTCATTCCAAATAAAATCATCTTATGCTACGGTAAGAGTTTACCCCTAAACAGCAAAGAAAACACATAAGGATATGACTTGAATAAGGGTCATGAACTTGCTGGAACACGATGAACGAGCTGTTTTATGAATCACAATGAATATAGCTATACTCTAATAATGACAGTATCACAAGAGGAAATAGCCTCTCTGGCAGGCAGACAGCTGCACAACACATTTGTTTCACTGCCTTCAAGTACCAGCTGCTGAGGCTCAGGGTAAGTAAGTCAATGGGAGGAGGATCTGTCAGGAGAGGGAGTCCAACTGAACAGACACAAGGACGGCATGCTTAGGAAAGCCACAAGCAGACAAGCGTAAGTACTTAGCAAATTCATATGGAACTAACAGGTTTTTGTTGTTCCCATTTTAATCTTCAGGAGCTCTGCTTCCATAGTCCTTTGCAGCTATTCAGTGGTTTAAGAATTACAAATATGAAGGCAAATTTAATATGGAATTTGTGAGTATAATGAACAAATAACATAATCTTCCTCTTAAAGTGCTTCTCAAGGGAACTGGGAAAAGTAAAGGAAACTTAAGAACTCAAAAAGAACTGGTTCAAACTTGGCAGACTGATTTGATTACATTTAAAATCTTACACAAAGAAGACATTCCTACTAAAAGCAAGTATTTGGCTAGTGATACTTTGTACTACTACTTTCTCTCCAACTTAAGAAATTATAAAATGAGTTACCAAGAAGCTTTAAAATTAACAACCATCATAAAAATGGCTACAAGTACAGATTCAGGTTCTTAGCTGGTAAATTCTTTACTCAGACCTTAGGGGCTTGCCTCTTACTTGGTGGGCCAGTACTTACTGAAACCTTTACTTGCAACTATTTAGAGCTTTGATTCACTATTTGAATGCTTTCTAAAGTTAAGGGAAAAGGTATCCAAGGGTTGGATACCAAGTAGTGTGTTATGGCCTCTATTATTAACTCCGTGGGCACTGGCTGCACTGTCACAAAGCACACCACCCTATCCAAATAGGAGGGGGACTTAGCTCTAAATAGGAAGGGTCCTTAGCTTTAGCGTTTTACTGCTTTCTGGAAATGACAACCTCTCTGTATCCAGGGGGAAACTCTGACATGTAAGTTCAAGTTCATCTCTTAAAATTATGGGAAAAAAAAGATATGATAAACTAACTTTTTTTCTTCCACATCTATTGGTGTCTTTCATCGAGTCTTCTGAAATCTAAGCCTCTAGAAAACTAAAATGTGGATGTCTTACCTGCAAACACCGACAGATGTGTATACAGTCCCATCTTGGAGAAGCTGAATCTTTTTAGAAGGAAGAAGTTAACCTTGGCTGTGAGTGTCTGGCAGGTACAATGCTTTGCAAAAGCAGATGACCTGGTGAGCTACTACTGACCATGCTGACCACTATCTGGAACTGGACTGAGTCATGGAAGGGCGAATGGCTTCATCTTATAAAATGTCTGAACAAAGAACAATCTCTGAGCACATTTTACAGAAAACATTTAACCGTTCTGGATTAAAGACAGAATCAGTAGCAGAGGAAATGAAGCAGACTGTGGAGGAACAGGGGAATACAGTGCACTGGGAAGCTCTCCTGATACTCGTGGTGATAATACCCACCATTGGCGGGAACATTCTTGTCATTCTGGCTGTTTCACTGGAGAAAAGGCTGCAGTATGCTACCAACTACTTTCTAATGTCCTTGGCGGTGGCGGATTTGCTGGTTGGACTATTTGTGATGCCGATTGCCCTCTTGACAATCATGTTTGGTAAGTATTTCCCCTTGTTCCTGCCACTGAACACTACTAAAGAAACGGAGGCTCACTGACCTTTTTTTTGTTTGAAATAAAAGATGGACCTGGATTAAAAACACAGAAGGGAACATTCCTTCATTTTTTCTATGATTTGTAATAAATGTGAAAGGACACAAAAATAATCTTAGGAGCATTTTTACCCTTTATTAGCCATCTTATAAACTCATTACGTTGGCAATATTTGCAGATTATGCATGTTACTTAAATATTATAGTAAGTAAAAAAGTGTATTTTAAAAAAAATTATTCATACTTTCTCTTTAACAAAGTGATCAATAACTAGGATAATTGTGGGACTTTAATAATAGAGTCATTGAATCAGCGAGTCCCAATTAAAATTAGGCATTGTTCAAAAAATTCCTATCTTAACTCTTTCTAACCTGAGTATTGAGCTTAGACAAGGTGTCTATACATAAGTCATGCTAAGTGAAAATGTTTAATTACAAAAGGAAATGGTCTTCCTCAAAGTATCTCAAGAGAAGTTCCATTTGTTTAATTTTTTTATGGTATCTGACCATCTGTGTTCCCAACAAACTTGTAAGTTAATAAAATAAGTGGAACAGACCCTGAGTTACTGTGATAATAAAAATATAGTTTGACTTTCAGATCTTTGTTATAATAAAAAAAAGACAGTATTAAAGTAGGCCTAGAGTATCTGCTGGATTACATCCTCCCTGCTGAGTGAAGAAACACAACTGAGACTGCTGAGAAGCGAGGACGGCTCCTGCTTCAAAGCCGCATTGTAAGGACAGTTCATCAGTCAGTGCTTGGTATAAACTGTTAGCCCACTAATAACTTAAAATTGTAGACGGTCAGGCTTCTAAGAACTGCACCTATGTGGAGAATAATTATGTAAGTTATAGAAGTAAAGTGCAGGAATTCAGAACACACTAGCTTATTGAACTTAAAAGTGAAGAAAAACTGCTATTCCAATTATTTTTATAAGAAACAACTCAGAGACATCTGAAATGAAGCACTCTGTCTTCATAGGCAGTAAGAGATGAGGAGTCACTCACTAAGCTTTAAAGGAAACCAAGCCAGGCTAAGCAACAACACTCAAGCCTCCACTGCCTTCATGGATTCTCTAGTCAGTTGTACTGTTTTTCTCGCCCTTCCCTTTCCTTGGTAATTCTGTAACCTTCTGAATAGCCTGATGGTACATGTTAGCCATAAAGAGTAAGAAATGATACTCTAAAAACAACCTGAAGGGCAAAGACAGGAAGTGAGGATGATGTAGGGCGGTCAGAAAGACCTCACAGGAGTAAGAGTCCAATTCTCATCTCCATGGTCCTAGCTATAGCTTAAAGCATAAAACCATACTCTTTGATGCTTTGCCAGGCAGCAAGAAAATGCTGAAATCCTTTTATCTTTGTTTTGCTAACACAAGATTAAAAATATTGAATGAAGAACTGAATTTTACAGAAGTGAAGTTTAACTTGAAAGCTTAGTCCGTAAACACCAAACATCTGCTTAACACAAAATTCTGAGCTGGGTATGTAAATCACTGGCTTAGGTTAAGGAATCTTAACAGAGGGAAGTTTTACAGTGTTCAAGTTAGCTGACAAACACTTCACAAGGTTCCAAATAGTAGGCATCCTATGAACTGAGAAAAACTGCTTATATAGAAAAATTGTTCTTAAGATATTCTTAACAATAAAAAGCAGAAAACAAACATTTTAACATAAAATATATATTCCACCTGCATACTTATGTTTTAAATTATAACCCATTTTAACAGCATTTCATTCTGCAAATACTTAAAAACAAATAATTAAACATTTGCTACTGGTAATTATGCTGTACAAAGGGGTTCTTAGATTGGGGTTTGGGGGGAAGTGACCCAGAACTAACTGGGGAACATAATCATCATTGAAAATGTCACAGTATGAATTCGTTATTTAAGACATACTGTGAGACAGTGCATGTGGACACATGCTGCCCTTGGGAAGCATCAAATCGATGTTTAGAAATTGGAAGCTGGGCACAGTCTGTGGGGACCTGACTCAAACAGTAAGGTCTTTGTATAGCCTTTCTCAGATGATTGACACTAAGACTTTCTAAACTAACACATTTGCATGAACTTCTGATAATTTTTAAAAGTAGCAACACATGACTTTCTCTAATTGCATGGGAAATCTTCAGAACTTCTGAAGTTTACAAACAAAAGTGCTCTTGGTTATATAATCATTAAAGATTAATTACCATTATAAACAGTCTTAGGTATTACCAGGAAATTCAATGACGGTAACTAAAAACCTTTATAACAGTTAAGTATTCAAACTTAAAAAAACAAGTTAAGAATAACGAAGTGCCCTAGTGTTCTTAACTGAGGAATATTTTATTCAAATTTATTTATGTAATGTTAATTGCATATTGTCTGAGTTTCTGTTTTACCAAGATTGTGACACTCTTGACACTTTCTGCCATTTCTTCTTTTGAAGCACTTGATGTGACCTTACAGCTTTACTTACTTATTTATTTTTATTGTTTTATCTTTTATTTTTAAAATCCATGATCATAATACATTGGCTTTTAACACAAACCCTGAAAATACCTACATTAGAAATACTTGGGCAAGGAAGTCTGGGGCAGGAGGACTGCAAACTGGATGTTATCCTGAGAGCTATACAGTACGACCCTGTCTCAACAAACAAATGAACAAACACACACCTCCAAACCACCAGCCACTGGAGAGATGGTAGTCTACGGTGCAGTGGGGAAGGTGGGGAAGGTGCTTGGTCGGGGGCCTGAGGTCATCCCTGAGACACATAGGGTAGGAGGAGAGAAATGACTCTGTCAAGTTGTCCTTACTGTGCACTGGCCCAAACACACACACACACACACACACACACACACACACACACACACCCCGCAAGCACAGACACTGAAACACTACAAACAAAAAATAAACACCAATCAACTAACCGAGAAGCTTTCTAAGAATCTAAGCTCTGAACCATGTTATTACTTTTTGAAATACAAAAAGCAGTAGAACTTCTTTTAAAACTTCTTTTAAAAAGCTACTTAGGGCTGTCCCACAACAGTTAATTTTCTAAACTGTGTAGCTTTGTGAACCCTGGGGGTATGGTCTTCTGGAAAGCCTTTCCAAACAATCTTTAAAGTTCTTAGAATAAGGGAGATATTTTATGACTCAAATTTATAGACTGATGCTAATGATTTTTTCATAAACTAAAATCCTGCCTAAAGGGCAAGTATATGTCAGACGCAGTGAACCTATCTCACCAAAGCAAGGAGCTTCTGGTTAAAAAATATCCGATTTCTACAATTAATAAAAAGAAATTCAGTAATAACATATTCTTCCTCCGAGCACAAGCCTGGACACAGCCCAATGACAATCCACATAAGTTACTAATGCTTCAGTGCAATAACAAATAGCAATAAAATTCAACTTTAGTAAAAGACACTTTCATGTTCTCTGCCTCCCCCAGTAGAGGCTAACGCTTAAAGTAGCTGCACTGCATTCTTGATGTACTTGGACAGAGAGACACTGGTTCTATACGGGTGATCTGGTTTGTTTCTGAACATGGTTCTTCACTGCTGGTTTGGTTGACCAGTTACTGTTGAAAATAGTAACAACAACGATAATTGTCATTTTCTGAGTGCTTTCTCTGTGCCATACTGTTTCAAACATTTTACACAGATTATTTTACTGTATTTCAAACCTAAAAATATAACATCACAGGAAGCTTATGAAATAGGTAATGCTAGCAGCATGACAGACAGGATCCTACCACAGGTTAACTAGACTGTCTGAGATGACAGAGTAAGTAGCAGCAATAGATGAATCTAGAGGGCTGAGTCTGGAGTTCATATGCTCGGCCTTCATGACTCTACTCTGCTTCTCAAACACAAGTGTTAATCCTACCAGCCCCAAGTATCATAGTCAGCAGGAGACTAACAAGAAAGCCTATAGAACTTTGGGAGTGATGAGGCAGAACCCACTATCTTTTCAATTAAAGATATATTCCATATTATGTGGTAGAATACTTAGGTCTCAGTACTTGTACAATCCTTTAGGTGAATGACTGATCTATTTTTTAAAGAAGGTACTAGAAACAGGCAATGCTTCCTAAGTTGCTGGACCTTGCTTGGAGGCAAATAGAGACAATCATATCCATGGTGTTTCACATTGAACAAAGTATTGTCCTACTAGCAGCTGAATAAACTGTCTACAAACTAAGACTTGTTTTGTTCCTGAAATACTACTCCATGACATTTAACCTACAATTATTTGGGTTCCCACAAAAATGCCAATTATTCCAATATTACTTTCTCTAGTTTTAGTTTAAAGACAGTAAAGGAATAAAGTTAAAAATGGGAGTTGAGCCGGGCAGTGGTGGCGCACGCCTTTAATCCCAGCACTTGGGAGGCAGAGGCAGGCGGATTTCTGAGTTCAAGGCCAGCCAGGTCTATAGAGTGAGTTCCAGGACAGCCAGGGCTACACAGAGAAACCCTGTCTCGAAAAAAAAAAAAAGGGTGGTGGCGGTGGTAGGTTGGAGTATAGCTTGCTTAAGTCTTGGGGCTGTGGTTCAATTTAGGGTGCTGCTGGCAGGTAGATAAGTAATACAGGGTAGGTGGAATTGCTTTTTCAGAAAAATTTTATGTGAAAGTCCAAGAAAAGAAGTTTTAATTAGTCTATATACCTGATTAACTTCTCTTACATTTTTTCTTTTTAAGCTTAAATATTTGCTGTTTCATTTGATTTCTATAAATTTAATTAATATCTAATCCAAGCTCTGCTGAAAATGGGTAGAATAAAATGCATTCCAACATATAACTGTAATTGTAAGTCAAGCCTGATGCTTCCTGTGTGCTCCACGGCGCTGCACTACAGGTGACATTCCTAGTCCTTCTTATGCTTTGCTAAGTTGTTGACTTCTGTTTGGAGACCAGGCGTTGATGTGCTGTCAAGGCTGGCTTTCACTTACTGTGTGGATCACAAACAGCTGCCACCATGCCTGGAGTTCCCTTCCTGCTCTCCACCAGCAATTTAGCATTTAGATTTTATTATCATTATTTTTTAAAGATTTATTTATTTATTTTATGTACACTGTCACTCTCTTCAAACACACCAGAAGAGGGCACTAGATCCCATTACAGATGGTTGTGAGCCACCATGTGGTTGCTGGGAATTGAATTCAGGATCTCTGGAAGAACACACAACCCTAGATTTTGATTTTTTTAAACCTTATTTTATGTGTCTGTATTTTGCCTACATGTATTTCTAGGCACTGTGGGTGCCTGGTGCTAGTAGAGTCTAGAAAAAGGTGTCAGATCCCCAGAACGATGGCTATAGACAGTTGTAAACTGCCATATGGGTGTTGGGAATCAAACTCAGGTCCTATAGAAGAACAGTTAGGCTCTCAACCACTCAACCATCTCTCCAGCTCCCTTTCTTGCTTTTTATAAAAGATTTCTACTAATCTAGTGTTGTTATATTGCTTTCATAAAGTCTATTTATTACTATTTCATAAGGTAGAATCTGAAAGATCTATCTCTCTTATCTCATATACTCTTGCTCTTAAAATTTTATATCACTGTTAGATATTGCTGATTAAAATATGGCTTTCACTAATTTTAATTCCTACTTCTGCTCCAAAATTAGTGTTCATAAATATATTAACTCTGTTGGAAAATAAATCTAACAAGGCTTCACATGCCTAATTAAATCAGCACTGGAAAGCTTTCCTTTTTAGCCTATAATGAGGAATATTATGGGTCAAAGAGTCAAATTCCAAAGACATGTACTTATATGTTTTCTCTGTGGCTTCCTGCTCACAACTACAAGATTTATGGCTAGAATTTTCCAGACCTTAATTTTCAAATGTAGAATACATAATTAAGACCAGCTAAACAGGGAAGTTTAAATTAGTACCAAAGTATTTTATTTTAAAAGTTCTACTGAGACTGTGTGCACTTGAGGATAAAACACCACAGCCAGATGAGGCAGAAGGGTCACATATTTTAGGACAGCTTGAGTCTATGGTGCTATCTCAAACAAAACAACCCAAGAAACCCTCCTCCTCCTCTTCCTCCTCTTCCTCCTCCTCCTCTTTTTCCTCTTCCTCCTCAACAAACAACAACAGAATTTCAAGCAGTAATTTTAGTAGCAGTAAACCTACTTATTAGCATACTTCAGACCCTGGTTTCCATCTCTAGCAATAAATATGCTCTTGTTTTCATTTTTGATGCACGGTGTTGCTATGTTGCCCACGTTAGATTGGATCTGGGGTTAAGTGACCCTTCCATGTCAGCCTCCACAGTAGTGGAGACTCTAGGGTCTACTTCAACCTATAGTCCAGACTCTATTTCCCTATTTTCCTACTCAGTGCCCAGAATGTAGGTTTGGCTTCCCTTTAGTTTCCACTAAAGAAACTCTCCTGTCAGTGATTCTTTTCATTTTTCCACTAGTTGCCTTTAATGTTAGGTGGTTAGAGAATGCATTGTCAGTTCTAAGGTCACTTTCCACTGCTAACAGAACACTGGATGTTTCGGCTAAGAAACTTCAATTACTTAGGTTTTTCTCTATCTGCAGGTTTCTTATGAGTTGTGTGTGTGTGTGTGTGTGTGTGTGTGTGTGTGTGTGTGTGTGTGTGTGTAGGTCAGAGGTTGATGTCAGGTGTCTTCCTCACTCACTTTCCACCTAATTTTTTGAGGAAAGGTCTCTTTACCGAGCCTAGAGCTCAGTGATCTGACTAGGCAGGGTGGCCAGCAGATCCCAGGGACTCTTGTTTCTGTCTCCCTAGCACTGGGGGGTTATTCCAGTACTCAGATTACAGTGCAGATTGTCACAGCTGGGTTTTTAATAAGGTCTGGGGTCTGAACTCAGGTACTTATGCTTGCTGCATGGAAGTACTTTATCAGTCAAGCCGCCCCAGCTCTTAAATGCTCCTTTTTCTATGAGACATTCTGAGTGTCTATCTCATACCAGTAAACCCAGGGATATTTTTTAAGTCTAAAATAGCCTTTTCTACAAAGTATCCCCACAGAATGCATGTTTAAACGTATTTCCATACGATCCCATAGGGATGTGGCTCACTGCATTTTCACACAATGCCTGTGTGTATTATCAGACAGAGTCCCAGAGCCGGCTTTCTCCATCAGTGCCTCAGGTGACACCCTCCCCACTCACTACTCTTGATCAGAATACACAACCTTCTATAGAACGTTTTCAATTAAGATTTCAATTCTGATAAATGCCCTCCTCCATAAACATACTCAAAGATTTAATTACATTTGAATTGATTCATTTGCAACATCAACAGCATCTCAAGGGTCACTTTAAGAGCTTTAAAAATATGTACTGGATTAAGAAAAAAAAAAAAGATTAAACCGAAAGTTGCCATTCAATGAAGAAATGTTTTTTCTTTCAGAGGCTATGTGGCCCCTCCCGCTGGCCCTGTGTCCTGCCTGGTTATTCCTCGATGTTCTCTTTTCAACTGCCTCCATCATGCATCTCTGTGCCATTTCCCTGGACCGCTATATAGCCATCAAAAAGCCAATTCAGGCCAATCAGTGCAACTCCCGGGCTACTGCATTTATCAAGATTACAGTGGTATGGTTAATTTCAATAGGTATGTGGGGAATGCCAAAGACATGGGTGGAGTATCTAGCCTTTATTTCCATATGGCCAGAATGCCAGGTCTGGTACCCAGGAAAACTCAGCGGTCAAGGCAATCCACTGACACCCAGATACTCGTACGTCACGCTCACTGTGCAGCTTCTGAGCCATGCCACCAGTAAAATCTAAGTCGGCAGTAAGTCCGTGTCTTTGGACTACCATCCCACTTTCATATTCAGGAAGTTTAAGCCCAAAGAGTTGATATTTGCAACAAACAGTTAAAGTCTAACTAGTACAAGGAATCTAGGCCCCAAAGTAAAAGAGCAAAAAAACGAAATACATCATAAATCACATCTAACAGCATAAACAAAAGAGGGAAAAGTCAACCTTGCCAAATTTTGTATGCAAGTACCAAAGACCATAAATTCACCCAGTAAGTTGGAGTTCCCATATGTACAGAGTAAAGGCAGTTAAATATCTACTTTAATGTCTTAACTGTCAAAAGGACAGATGTAAAGCTAATGTTTAGAGATGATTTCTAGAAAGAAATCAATTTCCTTTAATCCGTTCTGTTTCTGAGCTCATCATTTTGTTTTTTAAAGATTAGCATTTATTCTGTGTATGAGTACTTTGCCTGCACAGATACATGTGCATCTTGTGAGTGCCTCGTGTCCGAGGAGGCTAGATGAGGACACTGGAGTTTCAGCTGACTGTGAGCACTTTTCCAGTCTGTTGTCATCATCAACACTCAAAGACTGCTGCTACTAGGGTACATCGAGTACAGCATTCATTCAAAGCTCTCCTGAGTTAGTTAGTACCAGAAAAAGAAGCGCATAGATTTGTAACATATGAACCGACCAGGGATTTACTGCTTCCCAGTAGAAAGAACATTTTTTGAAGAGGAAAATAATTATGAGACCTGAAGTGCTAAAAGAGGAGAACACACCCATTGCTTACTTCTCTCTAATCAGTGTCAGGATGTGCTCAATAAAGAAAGATACTGAAATTATCCCCACATTGCTGAAACATTGGCTCTAGAGCCCAAACATTTTTGAAAAACCTGGGAGGAAGGAGGAGGAGTCAAGGAAACATCTACTCAGGATACAGAGACTTTTATGTCAAACAGTAGACGATCAGAATGGGAAAGAACAGAAATAACAAGGTAGGTAAGGGATAAGAGGACTTTCTATAAAGAGCAGGAATATGGTGATAGTTTGTCAGTTAGAACTTATCTAAATGAAGGCTGGATAACATGACTTCATAAACATCAAATTTTTACTAAGTATCTATAATGTGCAAGCTCCTAAGACTATATGGACAAAAGCTGGGTGGTGGCGGCACACATCTTTAATCCAGGCATCTGGGAGGCAGAGGCAGGCGAATCTCTGAGTTTAAGGCCAGCCTGGTCTACAGAGTGAGTTCCAGGCTAGCCAGGGCTACACAGAGGAAACTCTGTCTTGAAAAAAACCAAAAAACACAAAAAGAAAAAAAATTACACGAGAAAAAAAAAAGACAAAGCGCTAACACGGCTCAGCAGTTATGTGCTGTAAGTAAGTTCTCCAGGCGGCAGGCTGCACAGACTTAACCGTGCTGTAGGAGAGGCAGAGAAAGGCAAGCACTGCCACACCCAGCTCAGGCAGCAACTTTCTAAGAAAGAACATTTTGTTTTCTCTAAAAATAGGATTACAAGACACTCACAAATATGAAAAGCTAAAATTCTTAGGTGTGCTTGTACAACCTCAAAAATAATAAGACAGAACTGCCTGAAAATTAAGACACCGAATTTCCAAATTCTCTCTAAACTAACTACTCTGGATACTAACCTTATCTTGTGAATTCTTTTCCAATATGGAAAAGAGCAGATTTGCTCAGTTAGATTCCATTCGTCAAAGGGCCTGTTGATAATTCTGAACAGATTTGAAGGAACTGAAGGTCTCAGGAATTATAAAGCACTCATTAGCATAAAGTTACTGTGATAAACTCTCAAAACGACTGATCTAAGAACAAGAGGTCTTGAAGTGACTCAGTTTATCTTCCTTGGTCTTCCTCAGGCATCGCCATCCCAGTCCCAATTAAAGGGATAGAGAGTGGCGTGGTTGACGCACAGAACGTCACCTGTGTGCTGACGAAGGAGCGCTTTGGCAGTTTCATGCTCTTTGGGTCGCTGGCTGCTTTCTTTGTCCCGCTCGCGATCATGATAGTCACCTACGTTCTCACCATTCACACTTTACGGAGGAAAGCTTACTTAGTCAAAAATAAGCCACCTCAACGCCTAACACGGTGGACTGTGTCCACAGTTTTCCTACGGGAAGACTCATCCTTTTCATCACCAGAAAAAGTGGCAATGCTGGATGGTTCTCACACGGATAAAATTCTACCTAACTCAACTGATGAGACACTTATGCGAAGAATGTCCACAGTTGGAAAAAAATCAGCCCAAACCATTTCTAATGAACAGAGAGCCTCAAAGGTCCTTGGAATTGTGTTTTTCCTCTTTCTGCTCATGTGGTGCCCCTTTTTTATTACAAACATAACTTTAGCTCTGTGTGATTCCTGCAACCAGACTACTCTCAAAACGCTCCTGGAGATATTTGTGTGGATAGGCTACGTTTCCTCGGGGGTGAATCCTCTGATCTATACACTCTTCAATAAGACGTTTCGGGAAGCATTTGGCAAGTACATCACTTGCAATTACCGGGTCACAAGGTCAGTAAAAGTGCTTAAAAAGTGTTCTAGCACACTCTATTTTGGGAATTCAATGGTAGAAAACTCTAAATTTTTCACAAAACATGGAATTCGAAATGGGATCAACCCTGCCATGTACCAGAGCCCAATGAGGCTCCGAAGTTCAACCATTCAGTCCTCATCTGTCATTCTCCTCGACACCCTTCTCACTGAAAACGACAGTGACAGAGCGGAAGAGCAAGTCAGCTATGTATAGTGAACGGGCCGCCCTCATCTGACTGCGTGAGGTGATGAGCAGGACGCACGCGCACCAGGAGAAAGGCGAGTGAAAACTCCCGAGGTTGTCCAGCTTCCTTATCTAAACAAACTCAAAGCACGGGTAAAGTAGTTATGTATGGCTACAAACAAAAGCAATCCCTACTCTGGTTTTCAAATGGAATAAAATTAAATAAGTTGATAAATTTCAGTCTTTTAAAAAATATAAATGTCAAAAAATTTTTAAGTTCCTAATTATGTGTAAAGTTGTGCTAAGAAAGAAATAAAATGAAACAAAAATGTTAACTCTCTACATTTTAAAAAGCACAAGGCACAAACAACAATGACAGGACCAGGAGGCAAAAGCAAAGACTATAACCGGGATCACAGGCTAGGGGATGGTTCAGTGCTCACCATGCAGGAATGAGGACCTGGTGTGGGTCCTCTGCACCCACATAAAGAGCTAGATATAGTGTTGCCTGCCTGCGATCAACTGCTGGGGAGGCAGAGACAGGAGGATCCCTGGTCTTGCTGATCCAATGAGGTCCAGATTCAGTGAGATACCCCCACAATGCAAAACTCAGGAAAACCTGTCACATACTGTATCCCCTCACCCCACAAATACACATGTAAAACCCTAGAACCAAATCGTACAACAAAAAACCTGTTGATGATATTTGTCTGTAAGTGAAGAGTAACTTTAATGGTGATATAACTAAACGTAGTCAGGATTTTCCTCAGTCAGAAAGCTATGTTGACAGAAGGGGTGGGGAGGACAGCAGTTAGATTCAGGCAACGGAACAGAGCTCAGAAGCACAACTCTTAACAGACATCTGATGACCAAAGGCAGGTCCCCTGGAAGAGGCGGAGGAGAAGGCAAATGAAATTGTCCTTGGGTACTTGAATCAAGTAATGGTCCTTAAAGGTATGAATCAACATGCTGAAAAGGGAACTATAGAACCTCAATCCAGAGACCTAAACAGTATGAGATCTCATAAACCCAGTTTACCTCTGCCTGTATTTACACAATGCTGAGGTTGAACAAAATTTTATTGTTTGTTATTTCATCTTGCACTGATACAGGTGGAAATGAGTCAACCTGTACTGGACAGCTTACTAAATTTAGAAATGATATTCAGTTTAACCTCACCTCAGTCTTTGTACCTACACCTTGTGCCATTCTTAACAGGGATCAGTAAATGGCAGTCAGTTCTATTGACTGTTGGTGGATCTGTTCAATGCTATTTACACTAATGGCAAACAAATTAAGGCTAGAGAAGAGGCAATAAAGACAAGCCCATACCTTAGCTTTACCATTTCAAGCTGACCCGAACTTATACTTCTTCCTCCTGCCCTCTCACCAAGCCTTTCTAGGCAACTGAGTTTAGGATGATTATCTTATGAAATGTACGAGCTATGGAAAAATCTTGGCATAAGTGAACCAGACATATATTCCTCTAGTGGCAGAATCTTTCCCTAAAACATGAATGTAATGCACAGACCCCAACATGCAACACATATGCATTGGCTCTGCATCATCTGCAAGCCAAAGTATATCTCAAATTTTTAATTCATTTGTCATTAAAGTATTAGCCATTCCTCCCAAGTGGTCTCAATGCTTTCAATAGCATAGGGATGTGTTAGTTTAGTTAAAATAAAATAATTTACACTATCTCCCCACCCCAAAATAAAACAAACAAAAGCCAGACACAGAAAAAAAATATTCTTCTTTGGTTTGAGGTTGTAATCTAATGAGTCTGTCATATGTTAAGATTTATATTCTCGTCATAGCAAACATATTTTCCCCTTTCTGATGCTTTAGATCAAACCCAGAGCTTCATGAATGCCAAAAAGGGTGTCCTATAGCTGAGCCTCCCCCCACCCCTAAGGAGACTTGTCAGACATCACACTGATAACATTCAAAGCTCTATACTGTACTTTATGCACCAGGAAATATGTACAGCTGTTTCATAAGCTCTAACATAGAGTTACCAGTAATACTGCCAAAGTGCTATCCAACATGCTTGATACTGCTCACGAATTTCTATTACTGCTCAAATATATGCACACCTACAAAAATAATTACAGAACCCATAAACTAGCTTCACTATTACTTCCTTGTCTATAGCTAATTTGATCATTCTAATATTTCCAGAATAGCCTACTGATTGAAATATAACATTAATATCAACTATTTGTGAAATTAGCTGTAATTTCTATTTTATGAATACTTTAAAGAAATCTATAATTTGATGAGGCCAGAGAGATTATTCAGTGATTATAGCACTAGATGCTCTTACAGGTTTAATTGCTAGCACTCACACGATGGCTCATAACTCCAACTCCAGTTTCAAGGGATCTGACGGTGATAACAAAGTGGTGCGCAAATACACATGCAGGCAAAACACCATGCACATTAAAAGAAAAGGAGGGACATCTCGATACCTGAAGCTATGGTTGGCCTTAAGTGTACGATCTTCCAGAGGCTGGGATTACAGGCATGTACTACCATAACGCCTATCAACTCTTTAACTGTGTTTTGTTTGTGGTTTTTGTCTTCTGATAGTGCTGGGGATCAGACCCAGGGTCTTGTAGATGGTAGAAAACTGCTCTACCATCGAGCTACATCCCAGTAATGTTTTTATTACTAATCATAACCATTATAAGGAAATTAACAGCCTACAGATCTGAAGAATAAAAATAGCAAAACTACATGATCTCGCTTGTGAATAAAGAGAATAATTCAGATGAGAATTTTACACAAAGATAATTTCATTTAAGAAAAAAATCAAGAAAAAATAAATTTTTTAGACATGGTATAAGCTAACTGACTGCAGAATCATTTAAGGAGTACTGCCTAGAGACTACAGTGACAGTACATGCCTATAATCCTAGTACTTGGGAGGCTAAGGCAGCATGATTATGACTTAAAAGCCATCTTGGGTTACAAAATCACAATAAGGCAACCTGGAGCAAGAACCTTTATCAAAAACCAAAACATGATTCTACTGGGAAAAATGGAAAAGACAAAATGGAGGATTCTGGAAGGATGGCTCAGCAGTTAAGAGCATTTAGTGCTTTGCAGAAGACTCAGTTTCCATTTCCAGAGACCACAACAGTAGCTCACAACTGCCTGTAACTACAGTTCCAGGGGATCTGATGCCTGTTTCTAGTCACTGTACATATGTGATGCATATACATACATGTAGGTAAAAGACTTATAAACATAAAAATAAAAAAACCCAAATAGATTATATACTTGAAAGCAAATGTCGTACGGGAAAACACATAAGAATTTAATAATAGGACACGTACTTCTCAAGTGTTAAGGGCAACAAAGAAGTTTGAGAGTAACAATATTCTGTTAGAGACTCTTCAGGGAAGACAGCTCTGACAGACGCACATGGCAGAGAAAACCTGATTTATCTATCATCAGACTGTCTGGAATCTAAGGCTTATCATTTAGTTCCACAGCAACAGGAACTTTGCTAACTATTGTGAAATTGGATAACATTAGCTTAAAAACATATATATGAGATATGGGCCAATAACATGGCTCAGTAGGTAAAGGCACTTTGATATCAAGCCTGATGGCTTGACTTTGATCTCTGGGAACCTACATGGTACAAGAATTGACTCCCAAGTTTTTCTCTCACCTCCATATGTACATGTGCTGTGGTACATACACATCCACAGACAGACAGACAGACAGACAGACAGACAGACAGACACAAATAAATGTAACAAAACATTCAAAAAGAATACTTATTGATTTCTAAGTTCCTTTCACCTTTAAAAATAATAAATGGAGAAACTGTCTTAAAGTGAGACTTGAAGAACTTGTTTAACTCTAGTCATTTAAAGTAACTGACCACATATTACTTTCTTTATCTATAAAGAAGTTTTAGGCAAGCTAGTGTTTCGATACTCTCTAGCCCTTCCATCTTCAAGAATGTATTCTGGAGAACAACTCAAAGGTCTCTCAGAGGAACAATCACCACATGCAGGGTCCTCCCAAGTACTAGGGTCACAGGCACATACTATCACTGTGGTCTGTAGACGCCACTCTTTAAATGACTCTGCAACCTCAACTACTCAGAAAGCTGAGGCAGGAGAATCGCTTGAGCCCAAGTTCAGGACCAGCCTGGCTAATACTGTGGCCAGCACAGAACTCATCTGACTCACTTGCACCATCTGAAGGTCATGGTATGAAAAGGGTTTATTAACAAAAGATGGTTCACAGGTGACATCTGCTGTTGAAACTGGGGATTTAGCGCATGTATGAGCCACAGGAAATACAGGGGCAAAAAATTAAAAGAAGTAAATAATAAGGAAAACTGAACAGAAAGACGTACTTTACTTTTCAACCCACAGCATCGTTCAAACACACAGAACTAACCCAACTGTCCTCGCTCTGAACCTAGACATGGTCTGGTATTTTAGTTCCTATTTAAGAATCAGAAGGCAAACAGAATCTGCAGTTAGAAATTATTACCTGAACAAAATGAAGCCGAGTGACTCCACTGCTGCTCTCCTGACATCATCGTTGACATCACTTACCTAGGGGGCGATGGAAGGTGATTAGAACACAGATTCCATTAATAAGATGATACAAACTCCCCATCATGTAAATATAAATTAGACCTCAATAAGTCTTTTTCCTTAATATGTATATCAAAATATATTATATACCTTAGGTATATACAGTTAATAAATGTAAGAATAACGACACATGTAGGTTTCATAAAGTCTTTCCTTGCACAGCTTTACTCCCCAGCACTAGGAAAGCAAAGGGAAGTGCATTTCTGTGAGCTTGAGGTAAATATTATCTACATGTGAAGTTCAAGACTAGCCAGGTTTACACAGTGAGAGCCTGCCTCAAACAACAACAACAACAACAACAACAAAATCCTCCTTTCCTTAACTTAGAAAAAAACCCCTTAGAATTCCACTTCGAAACTTCTTAGATGCCTTTGTAGCATGGTGAAGTCTAAGGTTCAGAGCTACTGAAGAATAACTCAGCTGCAGCTTTCGTGAGTTATAAGGAATATCAAGCATTTCTTCAATGCTGTTTCCAGACAACATACTCTAAGATTAAGGAAAATGCAAATGTCTACAGTATAACTCATACTATGTTGACTGTGGGGGTCTGAGTGGAAATGCTCCCACAGCTCATAGGGAATGGTACTATTGGGAAGTGTGGCCTTGTCAGAGGAA